TTCAGATTGTCATTATTATTTGTTGTATTTTATAATAGGCAAGATGACCAATCACCAGACGCATATTCAAGCCGAGAATATCCTCGTGGAAACAGGGAGCCAAGCTTCAGTCGTGACTCTTATTAAACAGAGATATGTTTACTATTAAAAAGGAAAATGGTGAGTACAGTCTTATAAGGCATCCTTAGTAATGGGTATCATGTCAGTTTGAAACATACAGGATATAACATATGATGTATCAGCACTATAATTATTTGATATGGAGTCCTGTGGTGGCAGGTTTTAAAACAAATTTAACCCTTCAGGCCTTAACCCTTTAACCTTCATAAGTCCTTGAGTGGTACCACAAAATTCATTAAGCACAACTATCAAAATCTTCACATGCCCTGTGAAAGGCAATAATTAATATCTAATTGTAATTTATAATTGCAGTTGCAAATAATACTTTGCAATAAAACAAAAAATATGCATTTTATGCATTGCAAGAAGAGTGAAATGTTAATTTATTTAAATTCATAATGTGCATGTGTTGGAACCATATATTGTACATCAGAATGTACATTTTTATATTCATAGTACTATCTCTATGTCTATACTATGACTATGTCTCTATTCCCATCTTCAGTGAGAAATATTTCAGCACCCAAGGTATAACCCACTTAATGTGTTGCCCATACACATTACGGCTGTTTACCCACCATGAGATGTGAAGCTCAGATTGCACAGGACCTGGGTTACTTGGTACCCACATGAACAAAGATTGTGCATAAACTAAGTTATCATGTATCAAAAGTCGACAACTGTGTGTGTGATTCAGATTCACAGATTCATTTAATAGAATAGCAAACTACCTTTTAGTGTTGAGTGCGGATCACTGAATCAAAGATGCAAAGAGTGATATAATTTAGTTGAGGTCCTGGAATGTGACCTATATTATCTATTTCTAACTTACTATTTCTTAAAAAGATTTCTCAGATTGGCTCAAGGTACTCAACACATACCAACACAACAAAGAATTGCTGAAGTTGGTAGGGGTCTCATTGAGTTAGGAACGGCTTGCATTTGTGAAGGGCGAGATGTTTAAGACTGCGATACACGAGAATTTTTGTAAATGAAAATATAAAATCAAATTAATGTTTTTTTTTATCAAGTATGGTTTGTTGTTTTCTCTTGACATTTTTTTCTTACTAGATTTGTTTGAATATTGACCATTATTGAGCTCATAATGGTGACCGAGAGTAAGTATGCAACGTGAGGTGTTTTCGAGGCTTAGCGTCCCTGCAGGCCGGTTGCTGGACTGGTTGACTAGGCTGTTGGACGCGGTTGCTCGCAACCTGACGTATGAGTCACAGTCTGGTTGATCAGGAATCCTTTGGAGGTGTTTGTCAAGTTCTCTCTTAAACACCGAGAGGGGTTGGCCACTCATGCCTCTTATGTTTAGTAGAAGCATGTAGAACAGTCTCGGGCCTCTGATGTCAATAGTTCTTTCTCAGGGTACCTATTGCACCTCTGCTCTTTAACGGGGCTATTCTGCACATCCTGTCATGCCTTCTGGTCTCATGTGGTGTTATTACTGTGTGCAGGTTTGGGACCAGACCCTCTACTATTTTCCCCATGTGTAAATTATTATGTACTGTATCTCCTGCCTGCGCTCAAGAGAATACAGATTTAGGCATTTCAGTTGGTCCTAATAGTTGAGATATTTTACTGAGTGGATTCTAGCAGTAAAGGATCTTTGCATTCTCTCCAGATCAGGAATTTCATCAGCTTGGAAAGGGGCTGTCATTGTGCAGCAGTATTCCACTTTAGAGAGCAATAGTGTCTTGAAGAGTATCAACATTGGTATAGCATCTCTAGTTTGAAAAGTTCCTGTTATCCAATCTGTCATTTTTCTTGCAATTGTGACAGCTACTTTGTGTTCTTTAAAGGTAAGTAAGGTCTTCCGACATTAGTACACCCAAATCCTTTACATTGCTTTTTCGTTCTGTGTTATGATTTGACTGCATTTTGTACGTGGTTTCTGCTTTTATATTTTCGTTTTTTCCGTAGTGCAAGAGCTGGAACTTATCTTCATTAAATACCATATTATTTTCTGTAGCCCATTGAAAGACCTGATTTACATCTAATTGGAGGTTTGCTGTACTTTGTTGTCTACTCTCATAAAAATCCTAGTGTCGTCTACAAAGGATGATACAGCGCTATAGATTGTGTCCTTGTCTATATCCGATATGAGGATGAGAAAAAGTACTGGAGAAATTACAGTACCATGGGGGACTGAGCTCTTCACGGTTGATAGTCTGGATTTTATTTTGTTGACTATTACACATTGGGTTCTATTAGTCAGGAAATTGTAGATCCATTTGCCTATTTTCCCGGTAATTCCTTTTGAACGCATTTTGTGTGCAATAACACCATAGTCACATTTGTCAAAGGCTTTTGCAAAATCTGTGTAAATTACATCAAATCAGATCATTTGAGAATGCATTGGACGGAAGAGTGGGAGATAGTGGAGAGGACAAGGGGACTGTGGAGTGGGGAATGGTTGGGAGGACGAGGGGATGGGGGAGTGAGGAATGGTTGGGAGGACGAGGGGACGGGAGAGGGGGGAATGGTGGGGAGGACTGGGAGACGGGGGAAGGGGGGAAGGTTGCTGTGGCCGGGTACGGCTTTTATTATAATAAAAATTGAAGAATTTAGAAGTAGCATACAGAAATTAGCATAGATGAGCAATATATTTTAAAAGGTGTGTTGAACCAATGAAAGAAATTTCTTGAATACAATTAGTTTCATTGATGTGAAAAAGTAAAAAACACTATTAAGCCAGTAAAACTGTACAGTATAGCAATGAATTTAAAAAATCAAAATTTTTTTGTTCATAATGCCTATGCAATTATCTTGGGGTGATTCCGAGGATCACTGACCCGCAACAAGGTCTCCTGGTTGGTGGTCTGGTTAACCAGGCTGATCATAGGTTGATCCAGCATTCTTTGGAGGTGTTCATCAATTTCAGTAGATGTGAAGATATAACAACAATGACATGGTAGTGACAGTAAATGGGATTCATATAAAAATTATGGTTAAATAAGCTGCTTGAAATTTCACATGAGCCAGAGTACAGTACAAGCAAATACATAAGAATAAAAAACACTTGTTTACTTAAAATTTTAATTTACATAATTGATTCTAACAGTCAATAAATGTGGTTGGAATTTCAACCAATATACAGTACAATGCTTAAATATATACGACAAACATGGTGCACATTAGTTTGTCTTTTGTTAAAATACTGCACTTCTCAGCGCCAGAAATCTTCAAAATGGCCACCAGAGGGCTACAACATTCTCTTCAGCTTCATCTTGTGCAACCCGTTCTTGCACTTTCTTTAAGTCAATATTGACTTATTAAATAAGTGCATATGTGACATACTAATTTATTGTGAATATTTTAGTTTACCTTGAAAAGCTTCATAGAAAACACCGACCTTACCTAACCTTTTTAGTATGTTAAGATAAGCATCTTATTGCTTTGTAATTACATTATTACTTAACTAATTATAGGTATAGGTTAACACTTTCCTGGATTTTCGACTTGGACTTACGGGAGGTTTGCTTAATCGCTTGTCGGATCACGACGTAAATTTACGGACCGTGTTATATTGGGTATTTACTACTCGATCGGCTTGGGGTTTGTATGAATATGTTTGCCATTAAATTTTTGTTTTCTCTAATAGGCACTGTGCCTATTTGAGAAAACAGCAATGTATTGTAACTTAGAGGAGAGACTATTGAATTGGTGACACAACGAGGGTAATCGCGCACTCCACACACTCTTGTGTTGGCCGCGATCATGATTCTACATTTATATGCATATGTCTGTGTAGAGAATTTTATTCTGAACACTATACAAACAAAAAAAACGGAGTGAATCAAGTATAAACTTGAAAAAACATGAGCAAAGTAAAAACTTTTTACGCTCACGGGTACAAACACGCGTAAGATTCGCCTAAGATTTTATTCGCCGCAAATTTATTTGACGCTCTGTTGGCCAATTCTACCCATGTTCTTATAGAACTTTCTATTGCGAACACATTGCTATAAAAATGAAATACGTAGCTCGAGAAATAATGTCATGACAGTGAAATAAGTATAAACTTTCAAAGCGCTGCATCACAACAGTGTCGTCGCTGCTGAAATCACGGCTAACGCTTCGCCCAGTTCCCACACTCGTGCGGAACATAATTAGACATTAATAGGCATATGTCTGGGTGGGGAATTTTATTGCGAGTTCAGTGATATCAAAATAAGCGCTGTAGGATGAGTGTGAGGCTGGCAACAAACGAAAGAGTATGAACATTTACTTCCTGTTTGGGTGTCACAGCGAGTCATCTTCGTGTTTATTTACTTCGTGGTGGGATACCAAATGCTTGGGTGACATTTTATGCATATGATCCTGTAGAGAATTTTATTGCCAACGCATTGATACCAAAATGAAAAACGTAGCTCCAGAATTTATGTTAGGAGCATGAAAAGATTATAAACTTTTTTGTGTTTACGCTTGAGTGCCCAGAACGCCGCGCGCACAACCCGCTTTTTTTTTCAGCTAGTGCCGCGCGCACTAAAGTGTTATGTAATAATTGTAATTACGAAGCAATAAGATGCTTATCTTAACATACTAAGAAGGTTAGGTAAGGAAGGTGTTTTCCATGAAGCTTTTCAAGGTAAACTAAAATACATGTATTCACAATAAATTAGTATGTCACATATGCACGTATTTAATAAGTCAATATTGACTATAAGAAAGTACGAGAACGGGTTGTCTTGTGACAAGTGCTTTCATGATTATTTGGGAATCTGCAGTACTCAACATGATGCAAAATGAGACATACATTTCATGTTCACACCCAATGAAGTGCATTTGTATAAATTTTAATAAAATAATTTGTATCTGTACATTTTTAATATATTTATAACCATTCAGCAGACCTAATTATTTTTTTTTTGCTTTCTCATTAGTCAGACGTATCATTTGTGCCATCATATCCCAGTGTTCATCAGGGACACTCTTGAACATGTTAAATTCTCCAGCAAGGCTGGGATACTCTCCGCCATCTTGCCTCACGGTCTATGGAAAATATATAAAATGTAAACAATTATATGAAAGCAATTTAGCATTTAGTGTGGGAAAATCTATTATGCTTAAATTATATTTATTTTTAAGCCTATCCTGTTTAAATGTATTTTTTCTTAAAATTATAGCTTTTTGTAGATTTTTATATTACCAAATCATTATTAATCCTATAATTCTACTTAAATTTATTGGTTACATGTGGGACCTGAATACATGGTTAAATGTTTTGCAAGCCAATGCTCCACAGATGAAAGGGAAGGACCATTGGTGCCTTAAACACTGAATAGTAACCTGGAGTGAGGTAATATTTGGCTCTGAATTCAGTTGGGGGGATGGTTGGTTTGGGTACATCACATCCTAACAAAAAACGAGTTCTCCAGAAAACAGCCTCAAGAAAAAAAACCAGTCGTGCACAGCTACAAAAGCTTTGTACAGTACAAACATCATAGGCACTCCGGTAGACCTCTGGCTGATTAGACTTGATGACTATGGACAACCTGAGAGACACGAGCCTTGGAACAGGAAATCAAAGAAACAGCACCGACCCCATAAAGCATCCACCAAAGCAGAATCTGCAGCACAAAGGTAGTGGAGGAGAGATGTCACTGAACACAGCACATGATGCACCTAAGGCCTAATCAACTAAGCATCAATACCAACAGACCCCTCCAGAAGCTGGCCGACTCATTCTTTGCCAGAAAAGGATCCAGCAAACAAAATGCCTCCCCAGGGCCAAAAGAACAAAAACTGCACCTCTGTAGGAGAGCATGAACCGCAACCCTACAGTCAACAAAAATAGAGATTTCAAAAAATAATCCTGGACTAAAGGGGACACCATGAACCTAGAAGAAGAAGAAAGAAAAATGAGAACGCTGTCCAAACACTAAGTGGGCTCAAGCAGTACGTACACGAGCATGCCGGAGGTGAAATAGTGAGTGAGGAAACTTCCAGATGGCACCGAGGACATATCAATGCTGAACGCAAGAAGCGGCAGCTCTGCCAGTGTTGAACTACAGGCATACCTCAGAATGCGAGTTTAATCCGTTCCTGGAGACGCCTCGCCTTCCGAAAACTCGCATTCCGAAGTTAATTTCCCCATAAGAAATAAAGGGAAATGAATTAATCCGTTCCTGACTACCCCAAAAACCCCACATCAAACTAAATTTTTATACCTAATTTACCTAATTCATCTAAATAAACCTACAAAACTATGTTCCAGTTATTACTTACCTTACTGTCGAGTGCTGTAGGCGTATGGAAGATGGTGAGGAGGGGGGAGGAGGAGAGGAGTTACTGTTTGGAAGGGAAGTCCCCTTCCATAATCACATCAGGCAGTGAGGACCTTTCTGGTGTGCTCTCCCTGGGACGTTTAACCTGAGTGCCACTAGGTCCTGGTTGAGGCTCACTGCTCGATTTCTTCACCAAATATTTGTCCATGGAAGCTTGCTTTTCCCTTCTTCGCAAGCTCTCTCTGTAGTAAGGCATCACATTGTCATTGAAAAGATTAAGACAACGGCCTACTACAGCTTTGTCTGGGTGAGTGTGTTCAATAGTTGTTTGAATCTCTTCCCACATCTGACACACCTTCTTAATTACTGCAGAAGGGACATTCGCTGGTGCTGTTGCCACCACCTCCTCCTCCACTGCAGAATCATTCGCTGCTGTGTTGGCTTGCTGTTCCTGTTGAAGGGCTAGGAGTTCTTCGGTGGTCAGTTCTTCGTTGTGTTCTTCCACCAACTCCTCCACATCATCACCATCCAATTCCAAGCCCATTTTCTGGCCTAGACTAATAATTTCCTCAACAATAGGCGCATCATTTATAGGCTCAAACCCCTCAAAGTCTAGTTCTCTCACACCTTCAGGCCACAATTTTCTCCAGCCAGAGATCAGGGTTCTTTGAGTCACTTCTTGCCAGGCTTTGTCAACGAGTTTTAAAGCACTAAAAATGTTAAAATGCTCTCTCCAGAACTCTTTGAGGGTGAGGTTTGTGGCTTCAGTCACTTCAAAACATTTCCGGAAAAGTGCCCTTTCATACAGTTTCTTAAAATTCGCTATGATTTTTCTGGTCCATAGGCTGAATTAGAGGAGTGGTGTTAGGAGGAAGGAATTTAACTGTGAGGAATTTATTGTATTGAGGCATCAAATCATCTTCCAAGCCTGGAGGATGAGCAGGAGCATTGTCAAGGAGAAGCACGGCTCTGAGTGGCAATTGTTTCTCCTGCAGATATTTTTCTATGGCAGGGCACAGCACTTCATTCACCCACTCCGAAAAAATAAGCCTAGTCACCCATGCTTTTTTATTAGACTTCCACATCACAGACAAACGGGTTTTCTGCACATTATACTGTTTGAAAACCCTTGGATTTTCAGAATGATACACTAGCAAGGGTTTAATTTTTAAATCGCCACTCGCATTTGAACACAGCACAAGCGTAAACCTATCTTTCATAGGCTTGTGTCCAGGCAAGGATTTTTCCTCCTTGGTAATGTATGTCCTCTTAGGCATTCTTTTCCAAAACAGTCCTGTTTCGTCACAATTAAACACTTGTTGCGGTAGGTATCCCTCAGCCTCTGCAAACTCTTTAAATTCGTCAATAAATCGTCCAGCGGCTGGTTTGTCTGAGCTGGCTGCCTCCCCATGCCTTGTAACACTATGGATACCACTTCTCTTTCTAAATTTTTCAAACCAGCCCCTGCTTGCCTTAAACTCTTTCTTATCTGCATCACTCGTTGCAGGGGTCTTCTTTAGAAGGTCTTCGTGCAACACCCTGGCTTTCTCAGAAATAATGGCCTCCGAAACACTATCACCCCTCAACTCCTTGTCGTGTATCCAAATTAATAACAACTTTTCCACTTCTTCAAGTATTTGTGGTCTTTGTGTCGTTAATGTTCTTACTCCTTTTGCCACATTAGCACTCATAATCTTATTTTTCTTCTTAAGTATAGTGCATATTGTTGATGTCGCTTTGTTGTACTGCCTACAAAGATCAACAACACGTGTACCGTTCTCATGCTTTCGAATGATCTCTTGTTTCTCCTCTATTGTCATCCTCACATGAGCTTTCTGGCCTTTATCCTTACCACTGGCTTTCTTGGGACTCATGGTGAGATATATAATAACAAATTGTATAGACAAATCACCAAAAATCCAACAAAACACTGAAAATTCACGACAAGAATTGATGTGGGGGTAGTCACTGCGCGCGAGACAATGGTGAACTGAGGGGCAGAGGGGCGACGATCGCCGAACGACCACGCGCTAGGTCGGCTGTACGCGTATCAACAAACTCGCGTTCAAACTCGACTCCCGAAGTAACCATCGCCTTCCGAGACAAATTTTTGGAGTAAATACACCTCGCCTTCCGAAAATCTCGCATACAGGGACAATCGCATTCCGAGGTACCACTGTATATGAAGCGACGGTATTCAGCACGAGATGTCAATCAAGAAAAGCAAGAAAGGCACAAAAGAACCACACGGATACCAAAGAGCAACGACACCAAGGAGGGAATTGCAGGTGGGACGATACCAATTCAGCTGCCTGCTTGCCATAAGAGATGGCAAGAAGGTAAGAAATTTTAAGGAGGGGACGGGAGCCAGCAGCCCACCATCCAACTTACTGAACTATGAAAACCGCCCCCTGACTCCCTCTTCTGGAGGGAGTCAGGGGGCCTCCGGAGCTCACCCAGAAAATGGGGTTTCAGTATTTTTAATGGTGGTTTTCTGTGAGGAGCCCTGTCGGTTCCCTGAAGCTAACTACCCAAAGACAAGTAAAAACAGGGACTTACCCAGGAGGCAGCAGCACTACAGGTCTTAAGACAAGGAAGAGACAGATGACCATGACAGGTGGCCCAAGGCCATATAAGACCATGAAGGAACAGGAACGGCCACGAGATACCCGGCTGCCAGGACCCTGTTCGACCTCCAAAACCCTCACACTGAATGTCGATCAAAGACATGTTGCCAAAAGCTGCCACGACAGCAGCATACACTAGCAAACATCATGGGGCATGAGGGCAAACTGCAGGCTGACTAGAATTAATGACACTGCAGACAACCTGAGATGCATGAGCCCTGGAATGGAACTAGGGGAAACTGGATCCACCCAGAGTGTCCACTGACATAGAACAAGTGGCCTGCAGGTAGCAGCATAAAGCTGCCGCCATCAGACACAATACATGGTGCACCCCAGGTCTAAGCAACCAAGCATCCACAACCAATGAACCCCTCCAGAAGCCAGCTCTCATTCTGCACCAGAAAAGAAGGAGAATCAGGCAAACGGACTGTAGCCTTCTCTTCTTATTTCTGTACATTACAAAACGACCATCTGGACAAAATGAACAGAACCAGCAGCTGAGAAGAGCATGAAGCTCCCCAACCTGACCCTCAGAGGTCAAGGCAAACAAAAAAACCAAGGCCTTCCAAAAGCATCCACGATCCAAAGGGACCACCTCAAAGCAAGAAGAAAGAAAGGAAAGAACCCAGTCCAAAGACCAAGAAGGCTCAGGCAGCACATGAGCAGGCCGGAGGTTAAAAAACACTCGAGAGAGCATTCTGAACGGAGCAAAAGTGACATCTACCCTGAGCGCAAGCTGCAGCGGCTTTGCCAATGCTGCACGATAATAAACGATAGTATTAGACATGAGATGCTGATCCAGAAAAAGCCAAGAAAGAAAGGACAAAACAAACGGGTGCAAAACTGACGCAGGCAAAGAAAATTATGGAAAGACTGCCAGGAAACTCCATACTGTCGCTGAGACAAAGACCGCAGGTGGGACACCGGCAAAGAAGCCATGTGATCACCATACAAATGGCAATACACACGTGTCAGAAATGTCAGATGAGTAGTGCGGAGCAGAAAGGCAAACTGGCAAGGTACCTCACCGGCCCGACATGCCGAAAGAGGCAGAGCCCCAGAAAAACACTCGAGGCAGAACCCAGAGCAATAGCTGGACCGGGAAAAGGAGATACAGGAACCCCCACCTCAACCAGTC